TCTGTGACCATGGCAAGAAGCCGAAGCCGATCCGGCGGCGCTGTAACCTCCAGGAGTGCTCCCAGCCAGCGTAAGTCCTCCCTGAGTTGCTATCAACCCCTCTATGGGGCTATTTGGGGCTGTGTTGGGAGTGCACCAGCTGCTTCCCAGCACAGGCATCACCTCTAACACCTTTGCCATGTCCGTCTTTGCCCCTGCCCCGCCGGCAGCTGGGTGGCCGAGGAGTGGGGTGCCTGCAGCAGGACCTGTGGCAAGCTGGGGATGCAGGTGCGGGCGGTGCAGTGTGTGCAGCGCCTGCAGGATGGCACCAATCGCACCCTGCACACCAAGTACTGCACCGGGCAGCGCCCCGAGACGCGCCAGCCCTGCAGCCGCCTGCCCTGCCCTGCACAGTGGAGGACGGGCGCCTGGTCGGAGGTGAGCTTGTGGTGGGGGTGGGCTGTCAGGGCGTACCGGTTCCCCCCACCTCACCCCATCCCTGACTGTCTGTCTGTCTGGGCACAGTGCTCGGCGAGCTGCGGGGAAGGCGTCCAGCAGCGGCAGGTGGTGTGCAAAGGCAGCGAGGGCGGCGGGCGCTGTGAGGGCGACAAGCCGGAGGCTGTCCAGGGCTGCCACATGGCCCTCTGCCCGGGTGAGAGGAGGAGGAGGAGGAGGTGGCACTCAGGGGGGTCATGTGCCGGTGGGGACCAACCTTCCTGCATGCCTCCAGCCCATCTCAGCTGCAGGGGGATGCCAGCAAAGAAGGTCCGGTTGAACATGCCTGATGATGCTGGCAGAGAAAGGATTAAATGCCAGCCAAAATATTGCCTTTCTCTGTTCTTGGCCCTGATATTTGCTGTGGATGGTTTTTCTGACAGTTTGGGGATGCGATGAGCTGAGGGCATGATGGAGATGAGCACCCTGGAGTTCATCTTGGGGGTTTTTGGGTGGCTTAAGTGCCAGGCCAACTGGCTGCTCCCCCAGAGACCTCGTTTTTAAGGACATCCCTTCAAACAAAAAAATCCCTCCCCAAAACACGGTCCTAAGGTATTTTGAGTGCCCCCAACCTCCTGTGGTGGCTGAGCATCGTGGTGCTCTCTCAGCAGGGAAGCTCTCTGGTATCACCACCAGTACCGATGACGGTGACCACAGCACACCCAAAGGGCAGAGGGTGCCCCAGGACGGGGCCAAAAACCCTGTTAGCAAGATCTCCTCCAGTAAGTGTCCCTGCTCGGGTAAGGGCAACGCTTCCTGGGAGAACCCTCCCGAGTGCTTCTGCAGCCCCTCATGGGAAACGCAGGCGGGTTGGCGGGAGGACACACATCCATCAGTGATTTGGGGGAGTTTTACCCTTTGCTGCTGCGTCCCTGATGCTTCTGCTTGCAAAGCCTACCACCTGGTTGCCATCTCGTGGAGTCTGGGATCTTGCAGTTTCCACTGCCTTTGGCTGGGCACTGTGTCGCACTCTCTTTGCCTCCAGGATTTTATGCCTGTTCCTTTTTACCTTAAACTTTTTTCAGCCTCCCATGCTTACCCAAGCAGGGAGATGACATCTGGCTTTTGTCCCTTGTTCCAAGCAAGGATCTGCTTAGAGTGCTTCGTAGCTGAGGCAAGATGCATCACGATCGGATTTAAGATGCTGGTGTGGAGCATCCCTTGCTCTCTGTTTTTTCTCCTGTGCACAGAAACCTCAAGCACTTTGGCTTCGTTTTCCACCTCCCTCAGCTCCCCCCCTTCCTATACAAGCATTGCCAAAATTGCTGCATGGGGGCAGAGAGCAATAGTAGGTTTGGCAGCACCCTATAAGGGGGGCACCTTGTTGCCTTTGGGACCATCAGAAAGGTGCAGGGGTGAGAACTTAATGCCATCTTCATCTTCCTTGCTGTCTGATGCTGCTCTGTCCCCTCTCTAGGGGAGCCTTGCCTCGGGGACAAGTCCATCTTCTGCCAGATGGAGGTCCTGGCTCGGTACTGCTCCATCCCTGGCTACAACAAGCTCTGCTGTGAATCCTGCGGCAAGAAAACCTCCTCTGCCCCCCCCCCCATGGGCTCCAGCACTCCCTCAGGATCCACTGCTCCCAGCCCTGCTCTGCTGCTCTCCCCCCATCCCACCACTCCTGCCTGGGGAGGCCCTGGGGGACACCCCACCCCAGCACCTCTGTCTGGGTCAGCTGCTGGTGGAGGGGTTCCCGGCAGTGGCACTTTCCTCGGGGGGCAGCCAGCCTCGAGTGAGTCGGGCAAGGGCCAGGCAGCCAGGTAACCCACTCGGGACCACCTTGCCATGGGGCAGGGGCTGCCTTTTGCCTTCCTCCCTCTACTCCCTACCTTCTTTTTCCTCTCTCCCCCCACCACTTCGGGTGGCACTGCCAGGTTTGGAAATGACCTGGCTCACCTAGAAATTCCCAGGAAAACCACTTTTTTCCTCATGTTTCCCTCTTGCCGTCACAGCTGTGGCATGGTTCTTTTTGACAGTGCCATGGAAAACAAGGTGAAAAGGAGCAAAAAAAAAAAAAAAAAAAAAAAAAGGCGACAGCAGCTTGGCCACAGGGAGCTGGGCTGCTTACTCCCAAGGTGCTAAAAAGATTTGGGAGGGGAGCTTTAATGTTGCTTTTTCCTTCCCCCTGCCCCAAGCAGCAACACAAGATGTGCTGGAGGGGAGGGTCCTGGCTCGGTGGTTCAGCTCTGGTGCTCGGAGCTTGGAGGTAGCAATGGGGCGGGGGGAAGGGCAAGCAACCGGAGGGAGGTGGTGAGGTGTTGGAGGAGCAGGGGAGGAATGTTGGGAAATGGCCAAACTGCTGCCCTGGATTGTCCCTCTTGGGATGGAGAGTTTAGGAAACACATCTGGGGGAAGATGGAGCCTGAAAACCATAGACTGGCTTCTGTTCCGCATTGCAGGATAGGCAGATGGTCCAGGCAACTCTAACGTGAGCAATAAGAGCAAGGTCAAAGACCAAAAAAGATGTAAAAAATGCCTGTCACCTTGCGGTGACTTTTTAGCCAGTGCTGCCTTTGGCCAGCCTTGAGGTGATACTGATGTCCAGCCTCCCCAGGACCACCAGCCTGATCCCTGCACCCTTATACCCAGTGCCTGTGGGGCATCAACACCTTTTGGAGGGAAATGGGAATGACTGGGAAGCCGGGAGTGGATTTTAGGGGCAGTTACAAAGCAAGGAGAGAGACAAAGATGGATCTGTGTTCTTTTTGTCACTTGGGAGGGACTGAAAGGGAGGTGATTAACACCGTTTAAAAATATTGTGCCAAGTACTGAATGTCTGCACAGCACTTTAGGAGCCCAGGGCTGGGTGCAGCTTGCTTGGTGTCATGCCAGCTCCAGGTGTGGAGTCTTCAAGAGCTCCCTAAAGCAGGGTCAGGCAGCCTGCTGCGTCCCCAAGGGGTGTCCCTGAGTGGGCTGCTGTGGTTTTAGTGCTTAGGGGTGGGTAGCGTCCCATCTGAGAGCATCCAGCACCTCCAGGTGTGGTGGCAGGGAAAGGTGGGCTTCCGTGGGGAATGAGCGCTGGTAGGGAGGAGGTTTTGGGGACAGAGGTGTGGAGGCCAAGGAAGGCAAGGCATTGCAAAGCGGGATCTCTCAGGAGCACGTGCATGGCATAGGTGCATCCACTGGCCCCAGCGGTGCTGCTTCCCTGGCAATCTGATGAGCAGGACGAAGCATCTCTAGGGGCAGTCTTGGAAGCTCTTCAGGTGTCCAGGGCTTGCTGGTGAGGTGGCCCAGGGTGATCGGCATATGCTGGGAGCCTGTGGGTTTTAGGGCACACTGCTGTTTGAACCTGGTGCTTTCAGTGCCATTGGTGCCAGGACAGTGCTACATCGATAGCACTCGTGCGGCTGCAAGAAACTTGAGGTCAGGGTGTCTCGGAGGAGCTCACGTCAGTATGTGAGCTCCCCTCAGCCTTTGCTGGTCTGGCATGGATTGCAGCAGGGGAGAGGTTGAGGTACACACTTGAATTGAAATGAATGGAGATCCCTGTGCACTCCTGGTGTTTTAAGCATTGGAATCCCTCTGCAATGCTCTTCTGGAGGTACCCAGCAGTACAAAAAGGGCTGAAGAGATGCTAAAAGGGCTACTTGTGCACCCTCCTGCCCCTGCCTCGCCTCCGAGTCAAGGCTGGATGAGCATTTTATCTAAATACTTTTAAAAGAACCTGAAACTGGAGGTCCCCTGCCTCCTGGGTGCCACCCTTTGGTGTTAAGCGGGCTTCACGGAAGATGGAACCAAGCCACACATCTGCCTGAGCTGAGCAACCAGCACACCTAGTGTCAGCGGACAGACAGAGGGATGCCTGCAAAATGATGTAGCGGGCTGCCCAGGTCCGAGGCATGCAGGTATTGGTGCCCACAGGATTGACAAGATGCTGTGGGTGTACCAGGGTGGGATTCATCCCTCCGACTGCTGACACCAGCTCCGTACCCCTTGCCAGCGCTGCCCTCCGTGGGAGTGCTAGCATTTATTTATTGTGCCAAAGATAATGCTTCACAGTCTTCGAGGATCATCTCTCCCCAGTGGCACAGGGTGGGGGGGGGCTGGGGTGGGTGCAGGCTGTGCTGCAGGCTGTGCTGCAGGCCTCTCCTACTGCTGGAACAGCCCTGGGCTGGCTCGGGGCAGGACTGAGCTTGCTTCACCTTTCCCTGCCCAAAGCAAGGATTTTCTCCAGCGGTTGAGCCCTGTAGCATTGAATAAAACCAAAACCTTCCTCCCCCTCCTCAAAAATGGGCTGAAGTGTCTCCAGGGCACAGTGTATGTGCATGTATGCATGCATGCTCGCTCCTTCCCAAATCCTCAGCTCCACCCCTTCCTTCAGTGCTGTCCTGGGCATTTGTGCTTTATTGCATTAGGAATATTTTGCGGTGGTTTGTTGCTATACCTCGGAGGAGAGCTGTGGCTCAGGACTGGCCTAGCCCCCTCGCACCCCACAGCCAGGGTCCCCAGGGGCTTCGGAGCAAGGGGGCTGCCTTGAAGGTGCTAACCCCTGTCTCTAGCCAAGAGAGGCAGGCGAGATTTAAAGCAGGGTGTGATAACCCCCCGCCTCTGCACCATGTGGATGATGCTGCAGGGCTGGGACCCGGTGCTGGGTATTTATTCCAGGTGAGCGCAAGAAGTGCCTCAGGTGGGCTGAGGTTGGGTCGCTTCTTGCAGTACAGACGCCATGGTGCGCGGAGAGCCGTGGCATGGGGATGTAGCGATGTGATGGCCTGGCTGCCAGTAGGGATCCAGTCCTGTCTCCGGGAGGAGACGGTGCATCTGGTCCCCCCTGTCCTCCTGGGCTGAGCGGATGCACCAAGTCATTCCTTTGATGTAACCTTGTCCAATGTTACAGTGATGTATAAAGTTTTGTACATACGAGATTCAGAGCTTTTTAACTTTTAATATTTATTGATTTTGTTGGGTTCTCTTTTTTTTTTTTTTTTTTTTTGATCTTTAACAATGTAAAAAAAAAATCCCCATCAAAATCTCTTTCTGTTGATTTATTTGGGGGGTGGGTGCGTGAGGGGGGCAAATTTGAGTGTGACCAGTGTGGGGTTGTTGAAATGGGTTTCAGACAGCGAGCTGCCAGCTGTTTATTTTATTTCACCCCAGCCGGTTTCACATACCTCTTTTGAGATGATTTTTTTTCTCCTCTTAAATAAGATGAAGACCCAGCAAAATCCACAGATCTATAAATTACAATACAGACAGAGTCTGGCTCTGTCCCTGTCTGTCTCTGGTAACTGCTTTCTTGCCTGCCTGGCTACCTCCTCTTGCGTTGCGGTACTGAACTGATAGTGAAAAGCACGTTTCTGACCCCCCCAGGAGATGGCTTTAGTGCCAGATGCCTGCTCCAGCTGTGTCCGCTACTGTTGGCATAGCAGGAGAAGAACCTTTCTATATATACACACGCATAAATATGTAGGTTAGCCGTTGCAAAAATGATGTGTTACTGATTCACGCCAAAAAGAGCCCCTGAGATTGCACTGACAACTGATGCCACGGTCGGGTAACAAATAAAGAGCGATGAAACTGGGGCAGGGCTGAAGCCACAGAACAAACTGCAGTGTGGGCAGCGATGCCTAACGTTGGAGTGTGTTTTGGTGGCCACCCCTTTCCCCCATGCATCGTGGGGAGGAATGATGCTGTACACAAGCTACTGTTGCTGCTCATGGGCAAGGTTTGGGCAAGGGTTTTTAGGCAACCCCTAATTCAAGGCTTGGTGCTGCCTTGGTCACCCCAGCTTGCAGACGCTCTGCTCTATCCCGGAAGCAGAAGCAGCAGTGCTGGGTGGAAGGTGATGTGCACACTTGGAGTTGCTTGGTGGGTGCACCATCTCGCTCCATTGCTGGCAGCCGCAGCTCCTCCGCTGCAGAAGCAATGAGCAGGGGCAGGAGTGGGTCTCCAGCTTGGGCTGTGTCCCTCATGCTTGGGCAGAGCCCATCCTCCTGCAGCTCAGGGGCGCGCGGTGGCAGAGAGGTGCCGGCGGAGGTGCTTGATGAAGTCTGCTTGGGACTGCGGCAGGACGCGGTTAATGACAGACATGGGGATCCAGCCCTTTGGGAGAGAAAACACCCCGAATTTGGTTCCTCTGGGTCAAAGAGAGTTGGGGCACCCATCCTGGGGAGGAGGGTGCATTCACACACAAGGATGCGTACCTCTTGCTGTCCCACCCCAAGTAACACGGTGGCACTTGCCTTCAGGTCCATGCTGAGGAGCCAGGTGAAGTGGGTGCAGTCAGGGTCCCCTGCCAGTGGCTGCAGGATGATGCAGCTCAGCTGGGACTCAGCCCTGTGGTGGGCAAGAGAGCGGGCAGTTAGGGTTTGCCCTGGGGTGGGGGGAAAAAATGGGGTAAGGAGATCCCAGAGCAAACACAACAGGGAGGTAGCTCTTGGCATGCCTTCCTTGCCACGCCTGGTGCAAATGTTCATGGCTGCAGCAGTGGTACCTTGTGATGGTCATTGGGGGGGGGCTATACCTGATGCACCCTTCCTGCAAAGGCAACGGCTCGATGTGGGTGGCGGTGCCCACTAGGTAGACAGCTGTCTCCCTCCTCCCACGGTGCCGCACGCTGACGAAGTCGCGCTGGCCCACCAGGTTGCCTGGGCTGGGAGCGGTGACTTCGTGCGTCACCAGTGTGTCCGTCCCGACGCGTTGCAGTACCTACCAAAGAAAGGAGCGCCCTGGGGATTAGGCTCTTTGTGGCTGCCTCTCCAGGGACACCCCCACCACCTCCTTATGTTAAGCCACCTTGAGGATAGCAGCGTGGGGTGGCAGCA